TTTACAAACGTGGTAAGCACTACTTCCCTTTTTGTGATAACGCTTGAATTATCAAATCCGGAAAAAGACCGTGCCTTTGGTATCACCTTGTCCTTAGCTTGCATTTTTCACCACCCTTAGTAGAATGATATTCACGAAACACTACCTGGGTCAAACAAAACTCGTTTTAGGTTAGTATAGTGTACAAGTAGACATATTACCAGTGCATCATTATGAGGAATCATCAAGCCGTCTGCATCTTTGTCATCAAATGTTATACTGTCTCCATCAAAGACTTGGCTAACTCGCTTCCCATGAGTGACCATGACTTTTGACGTCTTTTTTGTAGCTGTATATGTCACACCATTGACCTCATCTCCCCTGGTTATTACATTGACTGTTCTTTTTGGAGATGGGGATTTCGGGGGTTCTTGTCTGTTCTTCATATATGATTGTCTACCTTTCTCGCTGAACATGTTAGTTAGATAACCTTGCTTCAACAAATGCTCGACTTCTCCCTATAGTAACCTACAATCTGATATTCTATGGCCATGATCGTTGTGAACTTCACAATCTAGATTCCTTTTGTTCGGGTCCGATCCCATATCTTTAGGACACCGCACCTTATCTCCCATACCTCTTAAAACAGATAAAAACTCGGAGATACTAACATTAAAATTGTAATCTCCGATCCTTGTATGTGTATTGGAGTCGCTGCCTCACGCATCTCGTTCCTTTCTGAATCTAGATGAAGAACTCGTATCTTTTTGCCTCGATCTCGATTCAGATCGTATGTTTTCTTGTTTAGACAAAGAATCTCGCCCTGCAGGTCCCATGTAAGGCTCGTACCTATTTTTTCGATCCTTTTTTCCAATTCTGAACGTCTCGATCCTGCTCTTTCATCAACCCTTGGCTGTGTAACCGTATCTTCTTCTATCCACAGCTTCGTGTTGTACCCGTTGTACATATCGTTCCAAGTTTTTGCCGAAAATTCTCGCAAACTTTCCTTCAGCCTCCTCGTGGCTTCTGAACTTTTGTCGTTTAAATTGCTTGCAAACGCCATAGCTGCTCAGTTGTCAGGTACTCGTGGTAACATCATCCTCTCCCGTTGGAATCTATCTACAAACTCCCTGAGTAATTTGGTATTCCCTTGTTTTACCTTAAAGATGTCTTTCATCCTTTTTTTCAACTTTCTAAGCTCCCGAATGTGCTTTTATAAATGAATCTGCAAGCTCAGAAAAAGAATCGATAGAGATTTTAGGTAAAAGAGAATACCACATTAATGCTCCTTTGGTGAGTGTTTCACCAAACTGTTTAACCAGAACTGATTTGATTTCTTGCTTGGTTAAATCGTTGCCCTTCACGCCAGTTGTGAACGCAGTTACGTGATCTCGAGGATCAGTTGTTCCTTCATATTTTGGAATATTAGGCATTATAAACTTTTTAGGAATCGACAAATGTGTTGCACTTGGCTTCCATGGCTGTTGTGAATATTTATCAATATCTACCCCTTTGATCACGGGCGGCATGCCAAGTATTTGCTCTATGCGATCATTTTGCTCTTTCAACTATTTCTGCAAAGTTAGTACCAAACTTCGTAAATCAGAATTATTTGATGTACCTAAACTTCCATCACGAGATCCATTGGGATTTCCTCCACTTCCAATATTGTCGAGCCCCGAGCATGGGTTTTCTAGGGTTGTCGTGTTAACTGGTGGAAGAGTTTGCGGCGCATTTGGCAATCCCCTAACAAAGGCTTGAAGAGCACTATTCACGTGCTCTGCAATCAATTGCTTTAGAGCGTCTTGTTCGTCCCCATGTTGATCATTAGTACGTGACGTAGATCTTTCAGGTGATCTGTCACGAGATTGTCGAGGAGATCCTGATGGAGAGAGGAGTGCTGGAGTTGCTCCCTCCTGTGGGTTTAGCTGGTTATTGTCGTTAACAGTTGACATAGTTGGTTGTCATAAAGAAAAATTTGGAAAGTGAAAATATTATCAAATTCCCGAAAACAAAACCAATTTGTTTAACCAAAAATATAGATTTCTCAGTCAAAGCCTATATTTAAAAGAAAACGGATTACTGATAACCAAGTTTTACTTCACTTTCACAATAGTCTTTTAAGAAAATAATAAAAACGATAGAGAAAATTGACAAAGAGAAATAAGGAATGAATCGACAAATAATTCCTAAAATCAAGGCTGGGAACTTTGAAAAAGCAGAGAATAATAGAATGTATTTCAGTAGTAATCGAAATTTGTCCGTACAAATATAATTCTTTATCCTTATATATAGGAGCGTACAACCATAACGGTTTTCACACTTAATTTGAATTCATTACGGGCTTTAATTGTATTGATTGCCCATTACCATAGATAACCGTAACTGACATACTTATGGCTATAGATTCCTTGTAACTGCTCTGATTCCCCTTCCATATTTACTTCTGATTTATGTATCTTCCCTTCTTTTTAACCTCTTTTCACTTCGTTCATACCTCTTCTTTGATAGCTGTCAGGCTCGATCCTCTTCTCTGTATTGTCTCGTGGATATTTGTCCCGCACCTTCCTTGTATTATTAATTCCATTAATTGAAAGCGCCACTTATCGTTATACCGTTGTTCCACACGTCATGCTTCGTCAGCTTACTGATATTCCACGTGTAATATCTTTCTTTTTGACCAATAGAGAATCTATCTTTCATGCGGCAGGTAACTTGTACACGTAACAGGGTAAAAAAGTTAAATATCAGTTCACCTAAGTAGTGACGTACTATGAGTAACAGTCTATAAAATATGATATTTAAAAACAAGACATAGCACTAAAAATTCTATGCATAGTAAGTGTATATTAATTGAATCCATATATCTTTAAGTAAATATACATACTTATTCATACGGCAGAGTTTCAAACTTTATTGCGTGTGGTAAGGGGAAATCAACGAAAAAAAAGAAAATAAGACCACAAAATGACCACGAAGGTTGACACTGACGGACACATCCATACACTAGGATTCCATGCATGATATATCAGCAGGTTTGACGTTGAGCAAATTAAAGAGAAAAAGAGGGCGCAGGAGAAAAACAAAAGGTAGGTCCCCATACTTTGAACCATAATAACTCTATTCTTCAATCTTCCCATCTGCTCTTCTTTGACTTGTGAACCAAAAACATTGATTTCCATCCTATTATGTGTGGGGTTCAAGACTTTTCACACCAACCATTTCCCATATACTTCAGTCTTATTTCTAAAACTACAGCCAACCATTTTTGTCTCAAATCCCGTTCTCTAGCAACAAAGGATTTAGAATTTGTTATGCCCGCAAAAAATCAGGCGTCATGCGGAAGCTAGTAAAGCAAAAATTGAACGACAAAAAGTCCGACAACAAAAGAGAAATACCAAAAGGCATAAACATATAACGTGGTTCGGTCAACTGACCTACATCCATGGCGGAGATGAGCAATCCACTATATAAAAAGAGAGTACAAAGTATCGAGAGAACAACCTCACGAAGAGTCAAACACAAGTAACACACTAACACTTGTCCCTTAAAGTTTCCCCTTTAAACACGACTCTCAAACCCCATATGGCTACATTGTGGATGCTAGTGAATGAGAATGACGGATCTTCAATTTATAGAACTCCGAACCTTTTCCTACAAGAAAAGGACTAGCCAAATATGGGAGATTTATAATTTCCTACTACAAGAAGGAAAACTCAGTTATGGTAAATATGTTATCCTTTCCTTCTTGAGATAGGAAAACCAAATATGGTAAGAAAATCTGGACAAACACCTAACAGAAATTTTCAAGTATGTGATAATATTGTAGCATTCATGTACCAACTCATATTTTAGACAATACTACAAATTAGAGGTGGATTTAGGTTTTATGTGCATTAAGTTGAACCTATTACTTTCTGTTCCAACTATATATACATATAAAAAGAATGTTTACATGGAATAAAATCAAACTCATTCTAATTAAACTCATTGACTTCAGATCCTAAATTATTTGTAGTGCATATTTAATATGTGTGTGTTGTGTCTTCTAAAATTTGCAATTATACATAGCTTGACACTTAAAGTAGTAAATGCACTCATACTCCTTTGGATGTAGATATCCGGTGCAAATAAGTATTTATCGAGATTATACATCCATATGTTCCGAAGCAAATACACAAGTTTGCATTTACTGTCTCTCCTCCCTACTAGTATTGGTAATTAGTATGGTGAGTACAAAAGTAAATTAGCCGTCCCATTTTCTCAACTACCATCTTAATTCCTATCTTCCCTTAAAATTCCAACTCCGAGTCTTTTCTTTTTGTTAGTCAACCGTCCCAAACACGACATCTAAAGCAACCATTTACATCAACAACAAGGGTGCTCCACTACGGCATCATCATTTTTGACCAAGTCACTTTCTTGCTTTTACTTTCGATCAACCATTTAGACCATCCAAAGCAAATAATGATAATAATTAACAGTAATTAAATAAAGATAAGCTAAAGCTACTCCATTGGATGATGTCTCTCTACTTTATCCATAGAAACGAGGGCAAATTAAACATACGAAGACAAAAGCAACCAAGTAACATGTAAAATAAAGTCAAAATGCATCAACTCTTTCTTTGAATTATTCAAGCGTACCTAATTCATTATCTCCCCCCTCCCCCCACCCCCCTCCCAAACCTCCTTTAATTATGCTTTTTTCACGACTAATTGTAAGTTGGTTTAGCCGCGTGACTGTCGACCTAAATAAAACTAGGGAAAGTGACACTGTATAGCCTCTGCAAAAATAATAGTCAAAAAAAAATATATATATATATACATACATACAAGTTTTATATACTTTTTCGGCTACCAAATGTAAATAGTTTTTGGCGCGGGCTAAAAGTGATAATACCCCATAAAACTACACGTAACTGATTATAATTAAAGAGTAGAACTAGTTATAATAAATGTGAGACATGCCAAACATGTAAAATTACAATAAAGTACGTATAAAATTTACTTACGCTAACACTGTTAAAAATTAAATCCCATTGAAAACGAAGTGCAAGTCCAGTTTCGCAAGGAATAAATATAAATAGTTAATTACGATGCTTAATCTCCTTCGAGATAGAACTAAAGACTCGACAGACTCGACTAGTTCTAAACATATTACTCCAGTTTACATCGATCGGAAAACCCTTCTTCTTTGCAGGGCAAATAAAGCTATTTTAATATCACTATAATTTGTTCTAACTAATAATATCACTATAATTTGTTCTAACTAAGAAGACTCTAAAATGAGACTACTTGTTTTTGCAACTAAAAGGGAATGATTGTGCTCGCCTTCGTACGTAACAATCAGCATTGTTGGATCATCCAAAGCTCTCTCGACATGTTTACGTGCTGGGCATCCTCTTACACTACTACACTTGTAGTATCCCCTGTTTATATATGGTTAAACATTATTTAGATTACGAATAATACTTAAAGCTTTATTAAAAAAAATCTAATATTCATGATTTTCTCTAGAATTACCTTGGGTGTGGAGATCCTTTGATTGGCTTCTGTCCATATTTTCTCCATGAGTAATCATCAGGTGGTATATCTGCCATCTTCATGCTTATTGCCGGAACTCTAACTACCCTCTTCAGCCTTAATTTCCTGTAAAATTCAGTTAAGAATTCATTTCATTAAAATTATCGTACTAGACTGCAATAATTAAAGACATAATTAAGTAAATAAATATATTAATAACTTAAGATTTTAAATAAGATGGTCACATTGATATATAATAAATCAATATTGTATCTGAATAGAGGTCCAAGGTATAAGTTTCACCACCACGCATTACAAAAATACTTGGACGTACTTAGCTAATGAAAATGAATCAGATCCACTATATAGACATAAATAAGTAATTAAAAGGTGTGCGCTATAACATGTTAAGCGTTTAGATAAAATTGTTACAATTTAAGACTCAAATAGTGAATCTGGTTACCTTCTTTTGGAACAATGGCATCGGCCAGAAGATCCAGTACTACACTTGCCAGATACAGCATTTTCCGATAAACTGCACTTTCTTTTCAGGGAAGAAGAAGACAAAGGAGGCTTTCCAGCAGAATTAGAGACCTGAGAAAGATTGGTAATCTGGAAAGCTGAAGATGAAGATTGTTGCTTGCTCTCTGTTTCTCCTGTTAACGTTGAGATATTGAACGAGTTCGTACGAGACGTATTCTCCGGAGAATAAGAGAAACTAATGGTCTTTGGAACCAGAGAGAGTTGTTGACATAAAGGGATTTGTTGGATGGGAGTAGGAGAATACACTTTAGTGTCAACATAATCTTTACTAGGATTTTGACAAGGAGAAGAAGCCACAGGGGCTCTTCTAAATCTAGCATGGCCAGTTCTGTTTCGATCTAGAAGTGAAATTACCTTCTTGAACTTTGTAACAGCAGCGTCAGCCACCATTTCAATTTCCATAGGGGAGTTCTTTTGCTCTAAATATCCCTGTTTTTGCTGCTGTATTTGTTGAGACTGAGTCTGAGATAACAATCTTATGAGTTTTTCAACACTTTCAAGACCAGAAGCAGCTTCTTGTACAACTGTTTTTTCTTCCAAGTTGGCCGTCACCAAAGTACAATTCCTAGTGTTTCTGTAATCCATCATTAGTTCCACAGCCATTATTAGCTACTTTGGACAACTGACAAGTATAGTAATTTGGGCAAATAGAAACATCAATGAATTATGGGATATTGGAAGAAGAGAGAGTTGATAAAGAGTCAAAGTGATGGCTTTGGTGAGGTTATTAAAAAAAAAAAGGAAAAAGAAGGGGAAAGAGAGAAAGTTATGATAAAGTAAACAGTAGGTGACTTACCTGTCACTCTAATCTAACTTACTGCCTCGTCAAATTTAGGTGCGAATACGATCGGACACATTAGATTGCTTTGGCCTTTACGAGGGCTTCTTTTCTTTTTTTTCACCTTTTTCTTTCTTAAGGTAAGAAAAATAAAATGTGAATACCATTGCTCCAGTTACTAATATGAGATTATTTATTAGGGGTTTTGACATCGTTATCCATAAAAATAAAACTATGAGATTATTTATTAGGGGTTTTGACATCGTTATCCATAAAAATAAAACTATTTACTCTTCTCTAGCCATTTATTTTTCTACCCTTAAACTAATTACATTTCCTACCCATAGTAGGTTTTGGGAATTTTTTCTTTATTCTCCAATTCTTTTTTATTTCTAAGCTTCTTTTCTTTTCTTTTTTCTTTTTTTTTCTTTTCTCCTTTTTTATTTTTTCTCGTTTTCTTCTTATTTTTTTTCTTTTTTCCTTTTCTAATTTCATTTAAATTCTTTTTTTTATATATTCTTTTTCTCTTCATAATCTAATTTCATTTACTGTTTTCACTATTTTTTATTATTCTTTTTTTTATATTATTACTAAAGAAAAATCAAATTGTGTACCAATTAAATGTAGCTAATACAACCAAAAAAATGTTAACTAACATATGATACCAGTATAGTATATAGCTATACCAACAAGGTATACAATTGTACGCAAAGAATTAAAAAAATTTAATTCAATTATTAAAAAGAAAAGAAGTTGGAAGCATAAATAGGTTCTACTTATTTACTCTCTTTAGTTCTAATTTTATTTTAATTTATTTTATGTCATTTGTGATGCATGAAACAATATTAGGATAGAAAAATCATTATTGATATCTCATGAAAATATTTTTTAAATTGCATGCATGCATGTCGTAATTTGAATAACATGTCGCTAAAGGTTAATTTTGTTATTTTTTTAATCAAATGAAATAGTTCAATTGATATGTACAATTTCGTAGCATGAATATAATAAATTTACGTGGAAGATTATTTTCAATGTGGTATACATACGAATTAGGCTTATATTAATATTTTTCAATGTTTGATTGTATCTATCACAACATGTTTGCACACCAAAAGAAAAACAATAATACCGGCAATAAAAATCATGGTCATGACAAAGCAACCTAAATGGATGAGATGAACATATACCATGAACAACGTCTATAAGAATATATTAGGTGATATATGCTTTCATCACATGTTTGTAACTACATAAAATCAAAGTAAGTTAAAATGTCATATGTATCTAAGTAAACTTTAATTATTAATCTTTATAGGTTCAACAATATACAATCGTTTTGATTATTTATAGAAACTTGTGCTTTATTCTTTTATGTATAATTATTTACTAAATTTAATTTTAATAATATTGATAAAAAAGGCGAACCACTTCGGCAAAAGGAAAAACTGTTATTTTTAAAGGATAAAAAAGGCTAACCACTTTTCACTTAGGGTATTCGTACTTTTAATCTATCTATCTATGCTATATTAAAAGCACGAAGGATTTAATGAAATATTGTTCGCCTTTTATACCCTTTAAAAACATATTTTACATTGGACAAAAATGTAAAATCAAAAAACTTTTCTTATATTTAAGAGTTCTAAATCAAAAAAAATTCTAGTACAATTTAGTGTTTGATATTGTCTCCTAATAAGGATACAATATACTATGACATAAGAGAATGCAAAAAAAGTAGGAGGAAAGTTTTTTGTTCGTTTCCAACAAGGAAGCTTCTCGTTTTTTTGTGATATTTTTTCTCTTTGTCCTTGTTTAATCATAAAGACCAATTTTGCCTTTAGTTTTTTCATATGATTCATTTGTTGTTTTTAAAACTTAAATCATAAGTATTTCTTAGAAGCTCGGTTGTTAAATTTGTTAAAATTTACTACGGCATTAGGTTTTGAAATAGTAATTATTATTAAAAAAAATAGTAATCATTAATTTATGATAAGATTGTTATAATTTATTTTACAAATATACCTAAATTACCTCAATGCATATGTTAAAATAAATAGATGGAAAAGGACTTTTATTTTTTGGTAAAAAAATAATAATAATATTACTAAGAAAGTTTGTTGCGTAATTTAACTTTATAAAAAATTAATTAGTTACTTAATTCATCTTGTAGCTAATAGGATTTTCTATAATATATAACTGATTCTGCCATTAAATAGGATTAGCGATGAATTATATTATTTAATTATATAATTTATCTTTCGCTAACTTTTCTTTTCTTTGTAATTAACTTGTCTTAGAATACATGCTACCTAGACGGCTATTTTGATACAAAATTAATATAAAAGAACGAGAAACATAATAACACTAAACTTTCAAGATTATCTTGGTTGTTGTCATGTTTGGAGAGGCCATCCGCTACTTTTTTCTGACAAAGTAGGTTCAATGTTTGTCATATTCAAGAGCTTATATTTCTAAAAATCTTATTTTTAAGGGCTTATAGTTTTTATAATTTTATACGGATCGATAGAAAGTACATGCACATCGCACATATCCTAGCACGAAGCCTCTTAACGCAATGTTGTCCGCCTTTTTATCCTTTAAAAATAGATTTTATATTGGTTATAATTGTAATTTAATTATTCTACTAATATTTGGCACTTTAAAATAAACTAAATTTTGGTCATTAAATCTTCCTTCCTAAATTTTAGTAATTTAAAACCAAATAAAAATTTACTTATAAATCCTTTTCTTATATAAATTGTGTAAAGTATGTATGACTTTTTCTTATGTGCATTAGACAAAATGTATATAAAAAGAAACTTTTAGATTTAATCTTAAGTCTTCAAAAATTAAAGATTACTAATAATATGTAAACCAAACTTACAACATACTAGGTCGACTATGAAAATAGTATATATAAATAAGTTTAACACGACGTGCTTACGTTTTTAAAATAATAGTAGTATTTTAATTTAAAGTAATAAGTAATATAATGTACTTTAAGTTAATTATTTGAATAAGTTGAATACATATTGTAAATTTATACACATATTAAATTACAAATCTAATTACAATACCCGAAAAGTAAAACATAGATAAGTTAAATTTATATATTGAAATTAATGGAAATAAATTAGATACATTTATTCATAAATAATTTAAGGTAGTAGTTTGTAACGACCCGACTGGTCGTTTTGAGCAATTGCGTCCGGTTCGGCAGTTTGAGGTCACGAGCAGTTTCATATTATGTGTATCGACTTGCATGCATGGTTGGATTCAGTTTCTGGATGATTCGGAGTCGAATTGGAAGAAGGAATCCAGTTTTGGAAGCTTAAGCGGTGAGAATTTGACCAGAATTTGACTTTTGAGTAAACGACTCCGGAATGAGTTTTGGAAGATGTCAGCAGCTTCGTATGATGATTTTGGACTTAGGCGTTCATTCGGATTCGGTTTTGGAGGCCCGTAGGGTAATTTGAGGCATTTCGGCGAAAGTTTGAAAAGTTGAAGTTTGAAAAATGGAGAAGTTTGACACATAGTTTACTTTTGCGATATCGGGGTCGGAATGCGATTCCGAGAGTTGGAACAGCTCCGTTATGTCATTTGGGACTTGCCTGCGAAATTTGGTGTCGTTTGGTGTTGATTTGATATGGTTCGGACTCTCGGTTGCGATTCTAGAGGTTCTTGAGGTTAAATGTGATTTTCATGTGTTTTGGCGTCCGATTCGTGATTTTAGTGATTATTTTGTTGTTCCAATCGCGCGAGCGAGTTTGTGTTATGTTTTCAGACTTGTGAGAGTATTTGGTTTAGAGCCCCGAGGGCTCGGATGAGTTTTGTACGCATTTCGGAGTGTTTGAAAGAGGTTTAGCTGTGCTAGTGTTTCTGTTCTCGCATTTGCGAGGATTTCATTGTATTTGAGATGACCGCATTTGCGAGATCATTCTCGCATTTGCGAAGATGGGCTGGGCAGGGAAGTTCGCATTTGCGAATATTTAGGCCGCTTTTTTGAAGGCCGTACTTCGCATTTGTGAAGTGTCTCGTCGCAATTGTGATGGAGACAATATTCTTCAGGCTTCGCATTTGCGAAATATTCTTTGCTTTTGCTAGTTCGCTTTGCGAACCCAATGTCGCAAAATGCGACATCTGTAGCCTACTAAAAGCCGGACATTCCGAACCTTAGCTTCATTTTTCTATAGTTTGAACCCTAGGTCCGAGAGTGGGCAATTTTGAGAGAAGACTTTCGTACCAAATCATTGGGTAAGTGTCTCTAATCAATTTTCAACTATATTTTGTGATTATATCTTAGATTTAACATCAAATTCATGAGAATCTAAAGGAAAATTTGGGAAAAATTGTAAAATCTTTCAAAAATGTGAAATGATGATTTGAAGGACCAAATGGTATCGGAATTTGATAATTAATTTTGTATGGTTGAACTCGTATCGGAATGGGTATTCGGTTTTTGTAAAATTTGTCGAGTTCTGAGGTGTTGTCCCGGGTGTCACGACCCAGAAATCCAGTGAGGGTCGTGATGGCGCCGGACACCACTGTCAGACAAGCCAACACCATATTACTAGTAAATTCTCGTTTTAATATTTTCGAATCATTTCTTCTAAACATTTAAATAATGGATAATAAACTTCACTGGATAAATGATGATGTCTTTACAAAATTTATTTACTGAATAATCCCGAAATAATCCTAGAACCCGGTGTCACAAGTGCATGAGCAATCAATAGGAAAATCAAATGAAGTACAATAACTGTCCGGAATACAAATTTGGACAGAAAGTAAATACAATACACTGAAAGAGACTCTGCTGGCTGCAGGTCGCCTCGAGAGATGCAGCTCACCTAAGTCTCCGTATCATCCATGCTGCTATGCCCATTAGGTCACTAGAGGTACATGTGCCTGTGCAACAAAAACGCACAGCAAGTATAGCATGAGTACAAAAATAACGTGTACACAGTAA